AAGGTGGTGTCCCTGCGGCTCTGAATCCAAAGATCATGGAGTTGCCGGAAGAGCAGAGGAATGCGATTCTGTTGGAAGATGCCAAACGTGCAAAGAGAAACCACAAGATATTCCTCCTCTCCAAAGGAAACGGCTTAATGACTCCGCAAGACAAGAACTTTATTACTCGAATACAGCTTCAACAGTTGGTAACAGCGACCGGCAACACCGGCGACGCCAACCCAGAATCCCTTCTCACGGAAGATTTCTATTACCAAGTGTATAGCCAAATCCGCGGTGCCCCACGCCAACATCCTCGTCAACCCCTCGGTCACTTTGCACAGACATACCTTTCTCAAACCGGAGGCCGATCTGGCGGTAACATGAATAGAAGATCCCATTTTAGCGGCGACAACCACATGCAGCGCATGCAGCAACAAGTACAGAGGGCTGTTGAAGCCGCCAAGCTAAAGCCAAAGAACAAACAACTCATAATTGAAGGAAGTCTGGGGAAAATCTCCTTTAGCAATGCCAAGACCCCAAAGCCTTTGCTCAACATCAAACGCCCCGAAAGTTCTGACGGGCAAAGACCTTCTACCGCAAAGAAAACACAGCTCAGTTCTAGTGACCGCAAGTCAATCCTGCAGAATATCGAGACTGTTTACATTACGTTGATGAACATGGAGAACCTTGTACGCTTGATGCCACCAATTCCAAACCCGGAAGTAGAAGATGAAGAGGCGGTAGAACGATACACGGAATGGCAACGAAAAATGCAATCCCTCAAAGAGGTGCTATGGGACAGTACAAAAGTTCTTGAGCCCATCGACTCGGTCTCCGCCACCATACACCCTTTCATCGCATTCTTGTCATACCCCAAGGGCAAAAAAGCCATTCCCCGAATCTTCCATCAAATTGACCAGGAACAGCGTATCACCATGCTGACCATGATTATCTACCACTTGGACACATTGGATGTTGTATCAAGAGCCCAGCTACAACCAGGTGAAACTCAACCTCCGGGCCCTGTTCGCGAAGAAATCGAGCTATTCAATCAAGCCGTAATGCCCAGCTTACTCGGCTACGTGAGCGATGCCCCTATTCACATCGTTATTGGTCTCCTCGGCCTAGTTGTTGATAAAACTCAGATTCACGCTATTGCAAGGACCAAGATTGGACTTGGAATTTTGACCATGCTGCTGAGCCGAGCGGAACTGGTCAAAGAAGCTGGCGGTGTTCCAGAGCCGGAATTGGCGCAGTGGACTAAGGTATACAATCGGTTGTTTGACAGCATGGAGCCTGCGCTCGCCTACCTATTCCCTGGTACAATTAACAGTGGTGATGACATGTATGTTTGGCAATTCCTTGCTGCTATGGGCATTGGTGCAAACCCTGAACAGCAGCAGCGGCTAGTCATCGCCGTAAAGTGAGTAATCCTTCAATACATCCCCCTTCAAACTGATTTGGAGAGTATTGCTAACGCTCCTCCGCCATAGGGATCGAGTCCTGGAAACTGTCGCCCAAAGCAAAACGCTGCCAGCAGACATGGCTAGCCAGCGTTTGGGCAATGTCAACCTGTTTATGCGGGCTATTGGGCTCGACGTCGAACTCCTAGGATAATCCACCCTCCTACTCCGTACATTTATCTAATTCAATATCGCTGTTTTTCCTTTATCTCTCCTTTTAACCTCTCTATGTTGACACTTTTCTCGTCTGAGAACATTGTCTTGTCTTACGGATTGTAAACACCGCGCCTTTGACAATGCATTAGGTCTGCTGTCTTCATACTGACGTTTATACTATATCCACTTGAATTTGGGCAGTATATACCCCCTTTGTTTTCCTCTGCCGGTTATTACTTTTCCTTTTTCCTAGAGAAGGGTGCATAGGAGGTTCGTCTCATGACACTTCTGTGGTATAAATAGGTTATTGGCACGGTAGCAGGCAAGCATCCCATTGTAATTTTGGTAGTTGGTGGATATAACAAAAATGATATATGATGAATTACCGACGCCTACACATCGTGATTCAAATATTAAGTCACAAAATATTATTATTATTATTATTATTATTTATCAATAAGATCAGCGTTTTCTACCATATCCCTCCCGGATAAGGAGAGTAAATGACCGGCATCTCACGCACCCACTGCGGCTGCTCCCGCTCAACCTCCTGGATCATCCAGTTCGCCCAGTCTCTCCTCTCCAGGTAGATGGTGGTCTTTCCGTCCCCAATCCAGCCAGTTTGCGCCACTCGTCCATCCTCCCGTGAGTCCCCAAGTACGCCTACCCTGTACAGCGTCCAGTCCAGTCCCTCCCCTTTTTCCTTGAAGACCTCTCCAATACCCAGGATTTCTCTCTGCGATCGACGACCAAGCATGTACACGGTCCAATACGCAGCAGTTCTCATGAACCCGAACTTATCACGAGCGTCGTAAGCACTGATCGTCGACATTGCGATGATACGCGTAACGCCGTGCTGGCGCATTAATTCGAGGATCAGTCGGTATCCATCAGAGAACTGGCGGCCATAGTCGCCGAAGATGCTCTTGGGGCCAATGCAGGATAGTATTGCATCCTGTCCTTTGATGGCTGCAGAGAGCGAAGACTCGTCGGACAGAGAGCCCTCGTATATTGCCTAGACGTAGTTGAACTAGTTAGCGCATTTAATGAGCTAACTAACTACCCGGCTGTGGGTTTATCTGGATGATCCCGTCTACCTTGACTCGGTCTGAGCTCGATATGGCTTCCGGCACCCTGCTCCTATCACGGACGTGCAGTGTTATCTCATGGCCGTGTTCGATGGCCTTGCGGACTGTCAGTCCCCCGGCTGCTCCTGTAGCGCCGAATATAAGCAGTTTCATGGCCCAGCTTGATAGTTAGATGGGCAACTAGGTAGTTAACTGGAAAGCCGTCAACTGGCAACAATGGCCAGCGTGGCTAGCAGCGAACAGTGAGTTGGTTTAACTAGTTATATTGAAGCCGCCGCAGTGGGATTGCGCCTCGCGCTCAGGCTCCGTGTCTCAAGAACTAGTTAACCATTAGCTATACTGCTAGCTAGCTGTATGAGAGAGGCTCCACGATCTGTAGCGTCACCCTTGCAGCCCGCAGCGCTCTGTCCGACATCTGAAACGCCCTTGTGTCGTCATCCATGCGGCTCGGAAGCCACCAGCCAGCCCGCTGCACCGCGTTTGTTAGTTAGTTGACTAACTAGTTGACCATCACCTCACTGACGACACCTCCAGGGGCCACCAGCCAGCCAGCTACATAACTACCCCGCCGCTCGACGCTGGTGTCTTTCAACCAAGTTCACAGTCGCATCCTCGCCGTCCTTCTACACACCCTCACGCTCGCTAATATGGCTACCGGATCAGTTCTTGTTACGGGGTAAGCATGTCCTGGTTCCTGTGCGCGGGTCGTTGCGGTGGGCTGACTTGCATGCGCCACCTAAAGGGGGACGGGCTACATCGGCTCCTTCACGGCGCTCGCCCTGCTCGAGGCTGGTTACAAAGTTGTCGTGGTCGATAGTCTGTACAATTCCTCGGAGGAGGCACTCAATCGTATAGAATTGATTTGTGGAAAGCGTCCGGAGTTCGTCAATCTCGACGTTAGAGACGAGGCAGCCTTCGACAGGGTCTTTGACGCGCACCCTGATATTGACAGCGTGATCCATTTCGCAGCTCTAAAGGTAAGTTGGTTACTCTCCCAGTCAACTAGAGAACTAACTGGTAAATGGTGTTGGATATTACTGTTTGCTAACTTGTTTTGCCCAGGCTGTTGGTGAGTCCACTGAACGTCCGCTAGACTACTACGACGTCAACGTTCATGGCTCGATCTGTCTGCTGCGGTCGATGGTGCGTCACAATGTAACCAACATCGTCTTCTCGAGCTCAGCGACCGTTTATGGAGACGCTACTCGCTTCCCAAACATGATTCCCATTCCGGAGGAATGCCCCTTGGGCCCAACCAACCCATACGGGAATACAAAAGTTGCAATCGAATCAGCGATAACTGACATGGTCAATTCGGAGAGAGCCCGGGCAAAGAGGGCTGGAAAGCCAGAAGATGTCGAGAAGTGGAACGGTGCCTTGTTGCGATACTTTAACCCGGCTGGTGCCCACCCCAGTGGAATCATGGGAGAAGACCCCCAAGGTGTTCCATATAACTTGCTTCCTTTGCTCGCGCAGGTTGCAAATGGAAAGAGAGAGAAACTCTCCGTGTTCGGCAATGGTATGTGTATCTCACCTTTCCAAAATTTAGGGGGTCCTAGTTCTACCGTACAGTGGCTAACCAATGGCCAGATTATGCTTCCCACGATGGCACCGCCATCCGTGACTACATTCACATTCTCGACCTTGCGGATGGCCATCTAGAGGCGCTCAACTACCTGCGCGCAAACCATCCTGGTGTTCGAGCATGGAATCTCGGTACCGGTAAGGGAAGCACTGTCTTGGAGATGGTCAAGGCTTTCAGCGCTGCCGTTGGACGAGATCTTCCATACGAGATTGCTCCTCGTCGTGACGGAGATGTCCTCGACCTTACCAGTAACCCGTCAAGGGCCAACAAGGAGCTTGGATGGGTCGCTAAACGAGACCTTCACCAAGCTTGTGAGGATCTATGGAGATGGACTGAAAATAACCCTCAGGGGTACCGACAGAGCCCTCCAGCAGCCCTGCTTGAAAAATTGAAGGCAAAATCAACGTAAGGACAGCAAAACCCAAGGCATCTACACTATAGGAAGGCTATAGACGCTACATCTCGCAGCATTGATGGGACATTAAAAAAAGAGTCTGCTGTATTTCTTCTATGTTTAGATTTCGATTTACCTGGTCATACTACACAAGGGAACTGTGGGTTTACGGGTATAATGGTAATAGGGCAGTAAGAAATGGATAGGAAAGATCTAAGGTGATGCTGCACTCCTTATTAGGATAATCCAATTGACTCTGCCAGAGCTATACATTCAGTTCATTGCCCATCTATGTTCGGCCGTATAATCACATCATGCCTCTGCGTGTAGGCTCATTTCTTCTTCTTCCCTTGAGTTGACGTCTCAGTCTTTGACTGTTTTTTCTTCTCCTTCTCTTCCTCCTCTCTAGCTTTCTTCTCCATCGCTCTGAGTAAAGCAGCTTCCTTTTCCTTCTGCTCAATTTGCCGCTGGCTGAACTCCCATAGCTCTTTGCCTGCCTTCTCATCCATAATCTCGCTTCGAAGGACGTGGCGCTCCTTGCATTCCTTTAACAAGGTCCCTCCCTCGATACCTACTTTCATACGCCCGGTCATGTCGCTATTTTCACCCGCCATTTTCTTAATTTCATCAAGGCTAACGGCGGCCGTGTTCCCAACTCCGCTGAAATTTGCTTCCATTGCTGCCATAAGGATACTCTGTGCGCCTTGCTCGGACGATTTAAGCACTAGCCACCATATTGGCCATGTTATAAGATAAAATAAGAGCCCCCACAATGAGCCTCCAGTAAGCCACCGACGGGTTCCTGGAGTTCTGCAAAACCCAGGGTCCACGACTAAGACCCGAGCGGGCGGAGGTGGGAGAGGATTATTTTGCTTGTCAGTGCGAGGGGTATAAGTTAAATGTTGCTGAAATGAACGTGCAAAAATCATAAGTGCAAGCTTAGAGGTCGCATACATGCTGCTACTGGACACGATCGATTCGGGGCCCTTTTTGGCCTTTTGTTTTGTCGACGGGTCAGCCGAATGCTGGATGACTGTTGCCTTTTCCAATACTTTGAGATCTAACTTATTCGCCCCAATATAACTTGAACAAGTAGTGAATATAACTCGTACGTCTCGGTCGGGCGGCTGGGCTCGCAAAGCAGGGCTTAAAATGCTCAGTAAATGGTAGTTCGCAAGATAATTTATCTGCCATTCTTCCTGGAGCCCTTCGCTGGTTCCATGCGATGTTCGAGAAGAAGATGGTTTCTGTGTATTCGCACAAAGCACAACCATATCAAGCCGCCGTACAGGGCTATTGTCGATCCATTTTGTAGCAAACAGCCGAATGGAATACAACGAGGAAAGGTCGACTTGTTCTGCGTAAATGAGTTCGTTTCCAGTCGAGGTACGGAGATCTTCAATGTAGTCGACAATAAATGGATCAGAAGGTAAGTGTTGCGTCAGTATTATGACCTGGGCACCTCTAATTGCCAACTCTCGTACAACGGCTGCACCAATGCCAGACGTCCCGCCCTATGTTCCCGTAATAAAAGGGCAAAGCATTAGTAAAGTATCAGGCTAATTGCGTAATTTGTAATGCCCATACCGTAACAAGAACCACTTTAGAGTGCATGACTCGATCTGACTTGTTGGTAGCTCCTCCAAAATATCGTTTTAACGCGGCAATTACAGCAAGACCAGCTGCTGTTTTCATGGCAGTGTATCCATAGGGAATTGCTGAAAGGCCTCGGGTGGCACCTTCAGCAAGGATGGGCAAAGGCATAATGGCGACGGTTTTCTTCTGACCTCAAAGGCTGGTAGCGAAAAAGGATCTAGGTGGGAAGTTCAACCCCTGGTTACGAGGACGTGGCAACGAAACAATTGTGCTTGGTTGTAGGTATATTTATATGCTCGTTGTGATATATAGAAAAGGCCAATCAATTAATCTCGACATAATGCTTGTTTAGATGGGATCCTTGCTCTGTGCACCACAGATTCATTGACCTGCTCGTGAGTTTGGGCTTAGGATAAGAATCATAAAGTGATGATTACGATCCAAGGACGGGATGTCGATTTTAAGGTTATTACATAATACACCACACTCTTTTTGAGCCTCAACATTAACGCAAGGTCTTTGCAATCGCCAGAAAGCACAACGACGAGAGCAGAAGATGATGGCCTCTGATGATGAAGAATACTCTGTACCCCAAGCTTTTGGTGCCGGTATAAAGAGAAAACGTGTTCCGTTTATTCCATCCCAGGACGCAGCCACTCTCTCTACAACATCTGCCCCCGTCACAGTTTCTTCCTCGCCTGCGCCTGGAGCGTCGTCCATAGCAGATAAATACCTATCTATCGTGCTCCCATCGAGTAGTCAGTCGGATACTGTCTTTCCAAACCGTGCTTCCACGGATACGAAGCTATGCGAGGTTTGCCATCTCCCGTTGAAGGGTACTCCTAAGCGTCCAAAGAGGGATGGTGAAAAGGATAACCAGGATTCAATCAGCGAGTCGGCAGTCCCTGTGCCGCATGAGGCTTCTCTGGCGCATCAAGTGTGCCTCCCACATTCTCATCCACCATCCGCCATTGATCGGAAGGGGAAAGGCTACAAATACCTCTCCTCTTATGGCTGGGACCCCGATTCTCGCACCGGCCTGGGGCCCACTGGGTCTGGCATTCAGATTCCACTCAAACCCAAAATTAAGAATGACACAATCGGGTTAGGAGTAGGCTCTTGGAGAGATGAAATAGAGAATGCAGGAGGGAAGCGGCACGAACGCAGACTCAAGCAACTACGTGAAAAAGAGGAAGCCATTAGGGTAAAAAATGCGCCAAAGCTAAATGCAAAACAAATTCGGCTACAGGAGGAAGCGAAGAGGAGGCAAGGGGAGAAGCTACGGGATGTTTTCTACCGGAGTGAGGATGTGGAGAAGTACTTAGGAAGTTGATATGTTTTGTAGCGCTTCAGATTACAAACCCCTTCCACATCGCCACGCACTCTATGCGTGGAAATGCTTGAGCGCAGGCTGCGGATTTTGACCATTCGAAAAAGATATAATAGTTATATCTTGCCATTTGTCTTTAACCTTAGACAAAATTCTGAATACAGAAGCTGACAAGCGTTTAGAGAATGTATATGAAGTCCATCGACTCAGAGGGTTGATTATTAGTGATAAATATATTATGATACTATAATACTCTAACATAAATATGCTAGACAAACAATCACGCCAATGCCAAAAAAAAAAAAAAAAAAAAAAAAGGAAAAGGAAAATTGCTACAGATGGCGAATAAATGGTATCGCAAGGAGAAAGCATCATGCTACGGAGAGGAAATGAAATTGTAGACGTGGGTATAGCGGTCGCAAATCCGGAAATGAAGATGTAGAACACCAATGTAGAGTAAGCCTACTAGCTTATTTAAAAAACCCGCGTTTCTTCTTTTCCTTGCTCTTTTCCTTTTCCTTTTTAGCAAGTTTTCCGCTAGAAGGTGGTGGAGTTTCAACTTGTGTGGCACTTGAAGTTTCATTTGTTGGCTTCCTCTTGATAGCCTCAGGTCCGTTGCTGAGGTTCATCGATGCCATCCCAGTAATTGGAGGGGCTGGTGGTTTGGGTTTAGGGGACGGGTCTCTCTCAAAAAGATGAGCGGGAGCCTGCGGCTTAGGGCGCTCACTTGGAAGATCTAGGCGTCTCTTATCAACACTCAGATCCCTTATTTGCCGTAAGTATAAACCTGGAGTAAGCATATGTGAACTCGCCAGAAAAACATCCTTGTTAGTTTGTTGGGATATCTCATAGCAGCTCCTGGCTTCAGAATATGTTGCACCGCCAGCAATGAATACGATAATCCGTTGACGGGGGTCACCAGCGACTGGCCGAGTGCGGGCCCAAGTTGGTTTTGCACTTCGGAGGGAGGATTGAGCAACTTGATCATGAGGTGTGCTCTCATCCTCTAAATATGGCCGTGTATACGGAAAAATGGTGTTGTCTAGTGTGCCTTTAATTTGCTCCTGTAACATTAATTTCACGTTCGTCTCAAAGCGTGATATGCTGACGTCCTCCTCCTGGGGCTGCTGTGGCAATTTCTGTGAGAACAAGGGCTGGCGTGGCGGTTTTGGATCCTTAAGAGGCTTCTCGACCCTTGCACCCAGAAGCCCAAGGTTATAGATAGCTTCACCGTCCTGCGGAGGAAGTTGTGAGTGCGCAAGAAGTTTCTTAATATCTCCTGCGAGGAGCCCACCGCGATAGTACAGATATAACAAAATCAACCTAAGTCGCTCAGAGGGTCCTACAGCATCATCGTCAAGAAGACGAACTAACTGTTCTGCAATGTTCTTGGGCTTTTTGAAGTCTTCGTCGACTCCAGTGGCGAGGCATTGTTCAACTGCTGCAACATCTGCCAGATTGCGCTCCTGGAAAAGCCGCATTGTCTCTTGAGCCATATTGAGATGGAGGGTATAGGCATTTTTGCCTTCCTGGAAATCTGACAGGCCTGCAAGCATATCCTTGACTGTATTGACTGACGCAGGAAGGTCGCTTATTTGACAAATGTTAGATATGGGGGGTACAGATAGAGTGAGGGGATAATCACTTACCTGTCGGCAAATTGGGGGTTTTGGGCTCTAAACTTCTTGAAATCTTCAGCGAGCTTTCCAAGGAGGTCTTTCATGTGTAAATGTCGACTGTTCACCCAAATTTTATCCCCCTCAGTAATCTCCATATCTCTTGTCTCTTCGGTCTCTTGACCTTGGTTCAAGACAGTTCGATATGTTAGTCTATCACCCTCTTTGATTGGAAGGAGATCATGAGCCATGGCCTGGTAGGTAAACTCATGAACTAGAGGCGCAGCAAGATCCATGGTTCGATCGGTAATAAATAGCACACCCCTCGGCCGGGGGGTAGGGACAGGATAATCCCTCCGGTGCTTTGCATACTCATCTAATTCATCTTGTACAAACCGGGCTAGATGGGCACATAGGACACTTGCTTCATGAGAGGCATCCTTAGGTCGGAAGTATCGGATAAGGGGGTATTCGTTTAGTGACACACAAACAGAAACAATCTACATAGTGTCAGCTGAATGGCCGTATAAACGAATTTCAAGAGTGGTATTATAATACCTTTTGTGCTAACTCAATGAGATGACTCCTCACAAGGTTGTTGCACGCAGGATGAAAGAGTGTAAGAAAGCTCCAGGGGTCGCGGAAGATAGCCAGGCGTGATTCTCGCGGGAAGAAACTGATGTTCATTACATGCATATTGGCAATAAGCTCCCGTGCAGCGCTGAAGCCGTTGATTCGACTCCTCATTGAAGGATCAAGATCTAAGATAGGTATTGCATCAGCAATCGATCGAATGCCTAGAGTAGAATTTCCATCTCCATACTTGATGTCCAAACCAAGAAATATTTTCTGTAACGGCGTCTTTCTAGGTCTGCCATGACACAGTCAACAATATGAGGAAGCGCAGATAAGATATAAAGGGCGTCTGTTTCTTTGTTCATCGGTCGTCGATGTTCGATCTGTTCAATATCTTGCAAAGCGTGTGTGAGCTTATGTATATATAGAGCATGGAATCGGCATGCGCATACTTGTCACATTCTCATTCAAGATATCGTCTTCCTTGACGGCGTTATCAATCAGTCTTTTGCTACCCTCGTCCACCACAAGCACTTTCCACTATATAGTGTCATCTTAGCCCCGCGTCGTGCTTCATTACTAGATCTCAAGGAGCGCTTACTTCTCTGCCTCCCGCATGACGAACTGTGTCCAGAATAGCTATATGGCAAGAGTTAGTGTATCTATCACGAACGGCGTTCAGGAAAGGGAGAGACAAAAGACCGCTCGGTATCACTCACCCTGGCGCTGAACCTCGATCAAGGAGGCGTCCATACTGTTAGATAAGGAAGCATGAACTAAAGTAAATCACCTCTACGTGCACTTAGGCAGCGCTCTCCGGTAGAGAATAACTGAGTCAAATTTATCCGCCGCAGTCGTCGCCTAATCCAGTTGTCAGTCACCCACCGTGGTGTGACTTTCGGTGACCAGCTTGTGTTGTTATTTTCTCCTTGAGACATTCACCTGCACTTCCCAGGCTGTTAATATCCCACTCTTTTTCGCCGATCTTGCTCGCTTTTTGGAATAAGCGCGTTTCAAGGGCCCGCTTGCTTAGTCACTCCAAGTTGTAAGGAATATTTAGCCGCGTCACGTGAATACCTTAATCAGATACCCAAACTCTGATGCTTTTTTCTTTGGTCACTGAAAAAGGGAGCTTCTACAGATATTTTTCTTGATGATGACGCTGCATTCTGCATTGGATGCCAGTTTCAACCTTGCTTGTTCCTAATTCGCTCGAGGGCTGCCCAACAAAACCATTGCGGGGATGCAACCATGGCAGCGCCCGGCTCGAGGTCTTTGCCTTCGTTGCGCTCTGCGCGCGCCAACTATTCCAGCAGGACGGAGCTTCAGCGGATCGGTACAGCATAACAGGGCCAGGATCACGGCGTTAAATAGGCCGCTTGAGCAGCTTAGTTTTGACTGGGTAGGCGGCAGGAAGGGTAAAAATGATGAAAAGAAGGGCAAAGACCCCAAGGTGAGCCTTTCCCCGCTGTCTCAATTGCTTGAGGTATAAATACAAACTAACCATTGTGTGCTCCGGATGATAGCCCTGGAAGGCTCAAGGCCCAAGCACCAAGATAAGAAAGGTCGGTCGCATTTCTTTCGATGAACGGTTCCAGTCCGCGTTACTGGAGTCTTCGGACATCGTCAGGAAAGAGCTTGAGCAG